GAGGTCTTTTCGGCGGTTTGGGGGCGTCGTCGGCTGTCGTAGAGCGCCGGGAGGTCGAAAACGCGAGACACCGAAAAACATTTCAAAAACCAACGGAAATCAAGGATTTGAGCCTCTTCGGGCTCTCGGGATGCTTCTCGGAGCTCTCTTGAGGCCTCTTGGTGGCCTCTTGGGCTGTGTATTTGCGGTCTCGAACCCATCCTGGACCACGTTAAGGCTATCTGGGCTGTCTTGGAAGGGCTTGTCGAAGTCCCCGAGGGCTTCTGGGAGCTCTCTGGGACAGTCTGGGAGCTCCAGGGCCGCTCCGGGGTGCTCTGGGAGCGGTCTGGGGAACCCTGGTCCTCCCATGCCCTGTCGTGGTCGCGGCCACGGTCGCCCGGGCCTCGTGACGGGGATATCTACATCTCTCTCTCTCTCTCTCTCTCTCTCTCTCTCTCTCTCTCTCTCTCTTTCTATATATATATATATACACATCGACATATACATATACGTCTGCATATCCATATACAGCTCCATATGCATCTACATCTACATCTACATCTACATCTACATCTACATCTACATCTACATCTACATCTACATATGACATACATGCAAATATAGATGTACCTATTCATTTACATATACATCTACATATACGCATACATATACACATACATATGCATGTCCATGTGTAAATACATATACACATGCATATACATATACGCATACATATACGTATACAAACACATATGCATAAACATAAACATCTTCACATACGCATATCTAAACCTATACATATACATACACATATACATATACTTATGCATACGCATGTGCATGCATCTATGTTTGGAAATAAAATCATACCTATACAAATGCATATGCCTAAATACATATGAACATATACGCAGCATGGTTCATATATATGTATATATATATACATATAGACATATTCACGTGCATTACATGTACATGTACATGTATATATACATATACATATACAATACAGTTACATCAACATGTGCATACACATATACTTGTACATATACATGTACATATACATGTACATCTACATATTCATATATGTATATATACACAAACATACGTATGAATATGCATATGCACATATATCTATATATACATTTACATAAACATGTACATACGCATATACATATACATATCCATCCCCATCCGTATCCATCCATCCATCCATCCATCCATCCGTTCATCCACCCATCCATCCATACATACATACATACAGACATGCATACATAAATACATACATTGGAAGCCCCTTGGGGTCTGCTTGGGGGCCTCTTGGGGACAAGCTCGGTGCGAAGACGAAAAACACGAATGCGGTTGACATGTACGTTTTCCGAAGAGAGCGGGGCCAATTTTGCCTCTCGGGGCCCTCTGGGAGGTCAAATTGCACGGGTTATGAGGCGTCTTGGAGGCCTCGAGTTGGCTGCTTGGGGCCTCGTGGGGGTCTCGGGCGCCCTCTTGGGGCGTGGGGCTGGCAATTCCAGTTGGATTGCCCTATCTTATGCTCCTCTAGGAGCCCTCTGGGAAGCTGTTGGGGCCGTTTTGGGTGCCTCTGGGACCGGCCTGGGACCCTCTTGGGCCGTCTTGGCGCCCTCTGGGGGGCCTCTTGGGCCGTGTAGGGGCAATCTTAGGGACCCCTGAGGTCGTCAAGGATGGCGCGAAGACGAAACTCACGAGTACGGTAAACATATACGTTTTACGGAAGGAATGGATATATTTTTGCTTCTCGGGGCCCTCGTGGGGCAAATTGCACGGGTTACGAGGCGTCTTCAAAGCCTCTGGGGCCGATGGAGACGTCCTGCGATCCGATCCGTCAAAGCCGTCTTCAGGGTGGTGGGCGGCTGGCTGGGGCCGCCGTGACGCTCATCGAACCGCCCTCCGATGCGATTTTGGGCCCCTCAAGGTCTGGCCGGGCCCCCGGGCCACACATTTGTTGTAGAGGTCGTGGCCCCTGGGCCCCCGGGCCCCCGGGCCTGGTTGTGGCCCGGTCCGGTCTGCAACCGGACGACCCTCCTTTCCGTCTCCGATGCGCTCTTCGTGGCCAAGGCTGGCTTTGTCTTGAAATGATTGTCCAAACGCAACCCTGGGCATCGCAGTTTTTTGGTTGCATCTGGGGCTGTCTGGGAAACGCAGTTCCCCAATCAGAGCTTGCTTCTGTAGGGGTCCTAGCGGATATAAAGCTGAGGTGAAGCGAGCGGCCGATTTCGGTGGCCGGGGCCGGGTGCCCGGGGGTGCCTGGGTGGCCGATTTCGGTGGCCGGGGCCAGGGTGCCCGGGTGCCTGGGGGTGCCCGGGTGCCCGGGGGTGCCCGGGGGTGCCCAATAGCCCAATAGCCCAGTAGCCCTATACCTATAGCCCTATAGCCGTATAGCCTTATAGCCCTGTAACCCTGTAGCCTTATATCCCTATAGCCCTAATAGCCTTATATCCCTATAGCCCCATCGCCCATATAGCTCTATAGCCCCATAGCCCTATAGCCCTATGGCCCTATAGGTCACAGTCCTATAGCCCTATAGCCCGATAGCCCTACAGCCGTATAGCCCTATAGCCCTAACAAAAATCTGATCGGGGCTTTTTTCCGGTATCATTGTTTTGTTGCATCTGGGGCTGTCTGGGAAACCTTTTGCTTCGTGTCCAAACGCGGTCCGTCGTTATATGTTAACATATAACCTCCGCAAGTATGACATATAACTCGAGCAACCAGGGATATAAGCCCCGTGAGTGGGTGCAATTAAATGCAAGTCAACTCAATTGCGGTCATACTTGTAACTATCATGTATCCAGATGCGCCACATGTAACCGCACATGCAATCACATGCCAAATCAACTTAAGACCGCGCAAAAGATAGAACTGCATGCATTCATTCACAACTTGCGCTGTAACAAGTTGTGAGAAGTTATGTTGGCTTATGTAAACATAACAACACTTACAACGCAACTATTTTAATGTATGTGATGCCCCCCCATGCTCGACGTGCAACCCGCCTCCTCTCTCGCCCCCTCCCTCCTCTTCTTCATCTTCCATCCTCCTCCTCTCGGTAGCAACGTCAGACACGTCGTCGCCAACGCCGCCACCCCGACGTCAGAATCGTCGCTACCACGTTCGTTCCAGGGAAGGGGACCTCGCTCTCTCTCTCTCTCTCTCTCTTTTTCTCTCTCGCTCCCTCTCTCTCTCTCTCTCTCTCTCTCTCTCTCTCTCTCTCTCACTCCCTTCTCCTGTGCGCTCCCCCCTGCAGCTGCGCCCTCTTATCGAGATAGAGATAGGGGAGAGAGAGAGAGAGAAGAGAGAGAGAATAGAGAGATGAGAGAAAGAGAGATGAGAGAAGAGAGAGAAGTGAGATATAGAGAGAGGAGCGGGAGCGGAGAAAGAGAGGGAGAGGAAGAAGGAGGGTCTAGGAGGACCACCGCGGGCATGCTCAGGGCCCATGGGGCCAAATGGTGGAGGATAAACACTGGATGGCGCAGTTGGTTTGCGCCCACGCGGTAATAAGAAGACGAGTTTTGAGGCGCTGGCACCCACCCCTGCGGCGTCCTCGTTGTCTGATGACCGTAGTTGGGCCTCGCCCTCCCCCCCCCCCCCCCCCTGGTGCCAATTTGCGGCTGGCAGCATGCCTATTGGCGGCATAGGGCTCTCGAGGGGTTGGTTGGCTTGCTCTGCTTGGGCTCGACTTGGGGACGTCCTGGCTATATCGGAGGCCTCTGGGGCTGCATTGGGGCCCTCTCGGGCCGTCGCGGGGCCGCATTGGGGCCATCTTGGGCGCGCCTTGGCCCCCCATGGTGCTTCTGATGGGCCTCGGAGGCTCTCCAGGCAGCATCTGGGGCTTTGTTTGGAACGGTGCCCTCGCGCGCGCTGTGGCCAGAATTGCAATGCAAATGACGTCGGGCTCCAGCTTCGCCCCCCGCGCCTCGCTGAGCACGGACAGCGCCCGCAGCTGAGCGCGAGCGAAGTGGGATCGCGCCCGTCCGACCCCGAATTGCACTTGGAAGAGGGGGGCGATGACGCCCGTCACACCGCGACGGCGAGCGGCGACGTGGTAGATTGAAGGAGCATAGAGAAAGAGAGGGAGAGAGAGAGAGAGAGAGAGAGAAAGAGGGAGAGAGAGAGAGAGAGAGAGAGAGAGAGAGATAGAGAGAGAGAGAGAGGAGAGAGAGAAGATAGATGAGAGAGAGAGAGATAAGAGAGAGAGAGGATAGGGAAGCAGAGAGAGAGAGAGAGAGAGAGAGAGAAGAGAAGGAGAGTAGAGTAGAGTAGGAGGAGAGGGAAGGAGAAGAGAAGGAGGGAGAGAAGATAGAGAGTAAAAAAAAAAAGAAAAAGAGAGAGAGAAGAGAGAAGAGAGAGAGAAGAGAGATATAGAAGCGAGAAGAGAATAGAGGAGGAGGAGGAGAAGAATGGAGGGGGGAGAGTATATAGACCACAGAAAGAGGAGAGAGAATATACCATATAAGAGAGGAGGGTGAGAGAAGATATATATATAAATATATAGATAGAGAGTGTGTAAATAATATATAGAGAGAGGGAAAGAAATAGAGAGAGAGGAGAGAGAGAGAAGAGAGAGAGAGAGAGAGAGAGAGAGAGAGAGAGAGAGAGGCAGGAGGAGGAGGAGGGGGAGGGAGGAGAGGAAGACGGAGACGAGAAGGATGGAGGGAGGATGAGGATGAGGAGGGAAGGGGAAGGGGTGGGCGAAGCAGGCAGGCGATGAGTTTTTTCTCGCCATGTGTAGTTAGACGCGCGCCTGCCGCGCGACTATCGTCGATGGGAAATGGTGGGGGCAGAGCCGCCTGAGCTGCAATCTGATTGTGCGGGCACCCATTGCAATCGACAATCCTCGGGTTAGGAAAACCTCGAATACCTAACAGAGAGGGGCCAACAGCTCGCCCTACATCACGCCATGCATCTGGGAGGAACCAAATCGAACGTATATATTGCAGGGAAATGTCACCGCAGCATCCCCGCCTCCTGTCATTCTGACTGGGCCATCACTTGCCGTCCTTCACATGCTGGACCAGGGCCCTCCACGATTTCCTGGCATCGATTTTCCAGCTGAAGGCGGAGTCGACCCTCTGGCCGTTGCGCAGAACACGCCACTTCATGGCTGGAACCGCCGTGTAGAACCGCATGGCCGATGACACGGCCCACAGTGCCTGGACATCCGCGAGCCCTTACGAGGCATGATCCGCGCGATGGGTGCGCCGACATTGGGGGCGGTGGCTAGAGATCCCTCCTGTGCCCTGCCACGTACTTTCCATGCGCCAAGTGCGCGTGCAGTATATACCTTACATTGTTATGTGTAAACAGGGCGTCGGGCACTGCCGAAGGCTGTGGTATTTTGTACCCGCCAAAAACGAGGGGCGCCACGGGCTTGGTCGGCACGGCAGGGAAGCGCAAGGCAAACGCCGAGGCTACGATCACGGGGGATGGCTTCGATTTGTTCGCCTTCGTTGGAGACGAGGTCGTTTTGCTTATCACCTTTTTCGTCTTCATCGGGGCCTTCGCCTTCATAGCCTTCATAGGGGTCTTTTTGGTTGCTGCCGCCTTCATGGGGGGTTTGCCCTTGCCATTTCCGATCACGTCGCCGAAGTGCTCGAGCATCTCGTCCACGGATGCCACAGGCGCCCCCGAAGCCGCCGCCGCCCCCGCGCCTGAGGATTGGGCGACGAAATCTATACATATCCACTGCTCCCACCATGCCCATCTTGAACCCAGGAGCTGTGCATGCGCCCTCCTGGCCAAGCCAGGAGGGCGCGGCGCATGCACCGCTGCGGGGTTGAGGATGGGCCTGGCCAGGGAGCAGTGGATATGTATAGATTTCGTCGCCCTATGAGGAGGGCAAGGGGGTCATCCTCTCCCATCCTCACCGACATCCTCCCCCCCGCCCTCCTCCTCAGCCTCTCTCCCCACCCTCCTCGCCCTTCTCGCCCTCCGCATCCTCCCAACCCCCACCATCACCCCCCCCGTCTGCTTGAAAGCGCGCCTCCGCCCGTCGGCGCGGCCGCCGTTGCTGGCGCAGAGGCGCCCGTCGGCGAGGCTGCCGCCGCTGGCGCAGAGGCGCCCGTCGGCGAAGCTGCCGCCGCTGGCGGCAAACCGTCTGGGCCCCCGCAGCCGACGCCGCCGCTCGGGCTCGTTGGCGGCGCGGGGAGCATGTGCTGCACCGCGGGCATCCACGACCCCATCGGCGTCGGCCTGGGATGCCCATAGATGTGCAGGCCTGGGATTGAACCCGCGTCGCCACGATCGAACGCGAACATCTGCTGCGCCGCGGCGTCGAGCTGCCTCGCCCCGCGCGGCTGCCTGACGACTGCAGGGGTGGAAACCAACGAACTGCTGCGCCTGCGCGGCATCGCAACCCTCGCCGCGGTAATCTTCCCTTCGTGCATGGGGCACGGGCACGGCGGTGAGGTCACTGAGAATGCGGCATTGTACACGGCAGGGTGAGTGCTCTGCAAGTTGTCGGGGTCCGCGGGGTAGTCGGCGACCACGCCGTGGTGCGGGGCCCTCGGCACGCGCCTGCGATAGAGGGCAATTGCATCTTTGAGCTGGTTCTTGCGATGGAGGGCTTCCATCGGGTCTGGCTTGATCTGAGCACCCCCGGGGTGCTTCGCAACCATGAACACGGCCCATATGTGAACGAGCGTCAGCTCGCTCGGGCTCACGAGGCCAATGTCGCCCATGCGGTTCAGGATCATGGACTGGGCGTGGTCCCACGGCGTAACCTGATCTCTGAATGCGCCCCACATGGTGCGGGTCATGTAGCGGTGAAAAAACAAGCAAGATTGAGTGTTCTGCCTCGCCGCCGTGCGCGGGGCGTGCGAGAGCCCCGACGCCTTCATGTTCACAATCGTACCGATCTGGACGCGCTCTGGGCCGCCGAATTGGCTCGTGTTCAAGACGTTCAAGATGGCAGTGGCATCAGCCATGGTGATTGCCTGGATCGGCGCAAGCCTCGAGAGCAAGAGGTTCTTGGCTTGCTGCGCGTCGACCTGGCCCGTTGACTGCATCGTCGCCGCCATGTGTTCGCATGTCTCGCGAACAGCAGCCAGCGCCATGGCGCTTCCTGGCGCGATATAAGGGCAATCAGAATGACAACGCGAGAGGTGCCGAGATACGCGGCATAGCCGCTCGCAAATGTTCGAGCCAACACAACTATGCTCCCCCTTCTTTCCACCCAAGCCTTCTCCCATGTCAGGGCCCAGCGGTGCGACCGCTAAGGCAATCACCAGATCCTCCTGAGAAACCTGGTTCCCAACCGTCGTTTGATATGTTGGAATCCCACCAGCCCTTTGGGCGTGAGTGGTTTAGAGAGCTCTCTCTGTCCTCAACCCCCCTTCTTCCCCTTCGGGGAAGGGTTTGCCCCTCCCCCTACCCCCTCCCCCTGGACCTGGATCGGTAGTCCCGAGCGTGGTCCGGTGAGTCTTTTTTTCGACGCCTGGGAGGGCCAAACAACAACGACCCTCACGAAGATTCTGGCCCCGAGGGGGGGGGGTGCCGTTTGGCGCCTCCGCTCGTTTTTGAAGCGAACAAACATTGATTTTACTATGGTGGTGGCCCCATTTTGGCCTTCTGAGGGGGCCGCGCTCATCGTCCTTCTTAGCAAAATCATTGATGTTACGAAGGTGTTGGCCTCATTTTGTCCTTCTCAGGGGTCAGCGCTTATTTGCGCTTCTGAGGAGGTCGCAAGAGGCCCCAATATGGCCCCAAGAGGCCCCCAGGAGGCCCCCAAGAGGCCCCAAGAGGCCCCCAAGAGGCCCCCAAGAGGCCCCCAAGAGGCCCCCAAGGGGCCCCCAAGAGGCCCCAAGCGGCCCCAAGCGGCCCCCAAGAGGCCCCCAAGAGGCCCCCAAGAGGCACCCGAGAGGCCCCAAGAGGCCCCACGAGGTCCCCAAGAGGCCCCACGAGGAGCCCGAACGACTCACACCAGGGCGAGGGGCCCGAACGACCCACACCACGAAGAGCCCGAACGACTCACACCACAAGGAGGGGCCCGAACGGCTCACGCCAGGACGAGGCGCCCGGACGACTCACACCACGAGGAGCCCGAACGACTCACACCACGACGCGGGCCCCGAACGACTCACACCACGAGGAGCCCGAACGACTCACACCACGACGCGGGCCCCGAACGACTCACACCACGAGGAGCCCGAACGAGTTACACCAGGAGGAGGGGCCCGAACGACTCACACCAGGATGAGGGGCCCGAACAACTCACACCACGAGAAGCCAGAACGACTCACACCAGGACGAAGAGCCCGAACGACTCACACCACGAAGAGCCCGAACGACTCACACCAGGACGAGAATTCCCCAACGACTCAAATCACGAGGAGCGCTTTCTCTCCCTCCTCCTCCGCCTCGTCCTTCCCCCGCCCCCCCCCCCCCTCCACAAGGAGGATGTGCAAGCAGGCGGGATGAAGGAGGAACAGGGGAGATATGCGGGCCCAAGCGGACACACGCCTGAAGAAAAAATATTCACTGCGTGGAGCTCCCCATATGCGCATCTACTCGCATGGACCTGTCCGCCGCGAATGTCTAGGCGCAAGAACTTTCGAATATTAACGGGCTTCAGTTGTGACGGTCTGGACATCAATCTAACTGCGAATGAACTGGAGTGTGAATGAGCCTCAGTAGTACGAGCGCGTCTCTGTGCATGAGCCTGGGGCCTCCTGGGGCCTCCTGAAACCTACTGGGGCTTCCTGGGGTCTCCAGGGGTCTCTTGGGACCTCCTGGGACCTCCTAGGAAGGTTTCGTGCCCCAGGGGAGGCGCAATCAATAGCAACAGACGTGCATAAAACATTACGGATTAGAGCCACACGAGAAGGGCAATCTATAGGAACACGCGTAAAACACAAAGGACTCGTGCCCCAGGAGAGGCCCAACACATAGGAACATGAGTAAAACATTTAGGATTGTGTACACAGGAGAAGGACCATCTATAGAAACATGCGTAGAACATCAAAGAATCGTGCTCCAGGTGAGGCCCATTCGATAGGAGCATACGTAAAACACATGGGATTGGAGCCACTCCTGTTGCCTTCTGAGGCCTCCTGCTTCTGGGGCCTCTCGGGGCCTCCTGTTGCCTTCCGAGGCCTCCTGGCGCTTCCTGTTGTCTCCTGGGGTCTCCTGTGGTTTCCTGAGGCCGCTGGAGCTACATGGCGGGCCTCTGGCGCCTCTGGGACATCCTGGGGCCTTTCTTGAATCTTTCTGTGCATCCTGATGCCTCCTGGGGACCCATGTGGTTCTCCTGGAAGCCTTCCTGAGCCTCCGTGCTGAAATGAGCGCCTCGACTCGAGGACATCCTCCAAATCTGCCGAAAGCGGAGGATGGTTGGGCCAGAATACAGGCAAACCGCCTGAGACATCCCCACGAAATGGCCGCGAACGAGCCCGTGCAACCACCCCTGGCGGCTCCCCTTAGGGGTGCTGAAATGAGCGCCTCGCTCGAGACATCCTCCAAATCTGCTACGAAAGCGAAGGATGTTGGGCACAGAAACAGGCAAACCGCCTGAGACATCCCCACAAAATGGCCGCGAACGAGCCGTGCAACCACCCCTGGCGGCTCCCCTTAGGGGTGCTGAAATGAGCGCCTCGCTCGAGACATCCTCCAAATCTGCTCCGAAAGCGAAGGATGTTGGGCACAGAAACAAGCAAACCGCCTGAGACATCCCCGCAAAATGGCCGCGAACGAGCCCGTGCAACCACCCCTGGCGGCTCCCCTTAGGGGTGCTGAAATGAGCGCCTCGCTCGAGACATCCTCCAAATCTGCTCCGAAAGCGAAGGATGTTGGGCACAGAAACAGGCAAACCGCCTGAGACATCCCCACAAAATGGCCGCGAACGAGCCCGTGCAACCACCCCTGGCGGCTCCCCTTAGGGGTGCTGAATATGAGTAAATCTGTGTATGAGTAAGTCTGTGTATGTGTACGTCTGGGTATGACTAATACTGTGTATGAGTAAGTCTGTGTATGAGTAAGTCTGTAGATGAGTATGTCTGAGTGTGAGTAAGTCTGAGTATGAGTAGGTCTGAGTATGAGTAAGTCTGAGTATGAGTAAGTCTGTGCATGAGCAAGTCTGAGTATGTCCGACAGGAGGGGACGAGAAAAGAGGAGGAGGAAGAAGGAGGAGGAGTAGGAGGCGTCCAAGTAATAACAA